GTTCTCTACATCCAGACTGTTCTCTACATCCAGTCTGTTCTCTACATCCAGACTGTTCTCTACATCCAGTCTGTTCTCTACATCCAGACTGTTCTCTACATCCAGTCTGTTCTCTACATCCAGACTGTTCTCTACATCCAGTCTGTTCTCTACATCCAGACTGTTCTCTACATCCAGACTGCTCTCTACACTAATTTCTGTGGATATGTATCACATCTGAATGTGAACTCAAAGAACAACTGACTTAATGGTTAATAAAATATTGCTTATTGTTTTTATTGGTTCCTTGCAAAGTAGAACAGATGGCAGCTCTATTTTATTTTACTACCTGAGAAAATATTTTCATGTACGCCTTGCAATACTGGAACACTGGCTATGGAAGAAGACCAAATGTCTCGCTCTGGACCTTATGGGATGTCTGAGATGATTAGGGTTGATTTTTAGGCTGAGGAGGGTTTTCTCCTCAAAGTTAATTATGAAAGATAAAGGAGGTGAAGAGAGAGAAGCCGTGGATAGAAATACCAGGATAGTTCATCTGTTCAGGTCAGAGCTCCGAAAATTGTAGATCTCTTTGGACTAGTAGTTATAGCAGTGTGCTTGTCCTCTGAGAAAGTTGCAAGTACCCGGTTCAATTCCCACAGACTGCCACTCTGGGTCCATGAGCAAGACCCTTAACCCCACACTGCTCCCCTGGCGCCGCACAATGGCAGCCCACTGCTCCCCAAGGGGAGGGGTTAAATGCAGAGAGGGAATTTCTCCAATGTGAGATCAATAAAGTTCAATTTCTATTTCTACATGTTAAATTGGAGGAATTTCATGGATCAATCATTCTCAGAAGTTTGTTCAGAGGATTAAATTCAGAGAGAGATGCGTTTTATCGTCCAGCCCTGTCAGCCAGGTTAAAGATGGATTTAGTCTGTTTCTTTGGTTTGGGACTAAATAAGATCAGTGGAAAAGGGGAAATCAACTCTGACTTAAATGCCAGTTAAATTGATTTCTTTCTTATTTCAGATCGTCCATGTCATCATGTCTGTCATCACTTGGGAGGTTGTTGGTGATCACTTTCTCATCAACCAAGCCAAGAGCTCCACTCATGACAACAGAAAATGTCTTAATGTGGAGAAGAAAGAGGAACAGAACGAGCCAAGAGCTCGTCCCATTAAAGACGAAGAGATTGAAGTCTGCATCATTCAGGATGAGGAGCAGGCTGATGTGAAGCCAAAGGCCGACACATGTGCGGCGACTCCTTCTCACCAGGAAGCACCAGAACTCCCACAGGCACTGGTGACTCAACAGATCAACAATAGAGCGGTGGAAATCGGAGTCTTGCAGGAAGGCAAGCTGTGTGAAGTGAAGGAGAAGACGGAAACCATTGTTCTGAAGCGTCACCAAGAAAGGAGAGGCATCCATGAAGTAAACAGTGACGATGCACAAGATAGAAACTTTTCTTGTCATGTATGCGGTAAATGCTTTGCCAAGTGCACCTACCTGACTGATCACATGAGAACTCACTCAGGTGAGAAACCCTTCTCATGTGTAACATGTGGAAAATGCTTCACACAGAAAACAAACCTGATTGTGCACATGAGAACCCATACAGGTGAGAAGCCCCATTCCTGTCAGTTATGTGAGAAGTCTTTCAGAGCCAGCGGCCATTTGGCTAGCCACATGAGAACTCACACTGGAGAGAAACCGTTCTCATGTTTGGTCTGTGGAAAAGGCTTCACTCAGCAGAGTAACCTGACTGTTCACATGAGAACCCATTCAGGAGAAAAACCCTATTCTTGTGATGTTTGCGGCAAAGCTTACAGCGACAAAACATATTTAAACGATCACATCAGGAGTCACAGAGGAGAAAAGCCATATTCCTGCAAAGTCTGTGGCAAATCCTTCAGTAACCGCAGCCCTTTGACCAACCACATGAGGACTCACACAGGGGAGAAGCCATACCACTGCAAAAGCTGCAGCAAATCTTTTAGTGACTGTAGTAATTTGGCTAAGCACATGAGAACCCACACCGGAGAGAAGCCGTACTACTGCAGGGTGTGTGGTAAGGCTTCCAGTGACAGCAGCAGCATGGCTAAACACCTGAGGACCCACAGCAGGGGCAAGCAGAAGTTTCCTTACGTCTAGAGGGAATCTTCCTGAATAATTTGCCCATCAAGTTTTCCCATTATTCAGTCTGACGGGTTGAAAACATTCTGAAGATCCTCCATCGTTCCCAGCCACCATTAAAACCAACCAGTGCAGCTTCTGTTTGTGGCCCCTAACACCCCATAAAATCCAGTTCGTGAGAAGCAGTTTCACTATCAGTATGTTTCTACCTGGAGCCACAGCGACACCTAGTGGGCTACAAGACAGTGGTTAGGGCCTCCCTGAGCCTGGAAACCTTGGCTTATTAAACACATTCTGACTTTGAAGGGAACGTCTGGGTTTCAGCACATCCCTCTGCTATTGGCTGCTAGACTTCCTCACCAACAGACCTCAGTCAGTCTGGGTCGGACAGAACACCTCTGATGTCATCAGTCTAAGCCCCTCCCCTCAGGGCTGCGTCCTGAGCCCCCTGCTGTTCACCCTGATGACACACGACTGCGTCTCCAGGTTCACCACCGATCAA